CGCCCCGGGCCCGGCCGCAGCCCGCCCCCGCGGGAGTGGGGACAGGCCGGGGCTTGGCCTGGGGGCGCTCCTGGGGCCGGGCCCTCGCGCGGATAGCCCCACGTCGGGGAAAGACGCCCTGTGGTTTTACAAGAGATGTCTGCTGCTTCAGCGATTAAATTGCGTGACTACTGAACTAATTGGCGTATTTCAGAAAATTAGCGACCCCCGTTCAGTGTTGCACGAAATGAAGGGCTGAGAAACAGTACAGGGCTGGGAGGTATGTGAGAGGGAGGCCAGGATGGGTGAACCTAGGCAGAGGCAGGGCTTTGGAAAGCGTGTTGCAGATGGTGAGGTGCATCCTCGCATATAAACAGTGCACATTTTTCTCCAGTTAGAAAGAAACTTCTGCTAGGATGGGAGGGGCCTCGGGCTGTCTGACTCTGTTTCAGTTAGAAGTAAAAACAAATACAGCTTCGGAGAGATGAGGTAAAATCCATCTGCAGGGCTGTGAAAAAGGAGCCTCGTCCCCCGGGGCAGCAAGCAGACAGCAGCACTGCAGAGCAGAGAGCTTGGCTGGGGGGTGTCCGGGCCCTTGAGGAGGACGGTTGTTCACACCCGTGGAATGAAGGGCTCTGGTCCGCGACCATGAGCCATGAAGTCAACTGACTCCCTCAGCACTTCCTGATTAGGAATAGTGCTGCCACTGTGAGGCAGTTGGTTTTAAACTTTGGGTGCCACAGAAATCAAAGGGGGTGAATGTGCACCCCCCTCCCCAGATCTGCCCCTGAGGTGAGGGTGTCTTGAGGGGGCAATGCCTGGCTTCTCCAGCCAGGGGGCTGGGTCGGAGCTGTGCGCGGGGAAGGTGGCAGTGACAGCGCTGGGAGAGGGGCTGGGAGGGAGCTACGGCAAATTCTGGGGTGGCCACAGCCCACCCTGTCGCCCCCGCCCTCTCCCAGCACCACCACCACCGCCTGCCCCAACCACAGCCCTGACCCAATCCCCCCAGCTGGGAAAAGCCCAGCACCGGCCCCAGCCTGCAGCAGCAGCCCACCCTTGCCCCATGCACAGATCCGGGGGGGGGGGGACGGGCCCCGCCCCCAGGGGCCACCCGAGAAG